CCACCTGGCTCCCATCAGAGAGGGGCTGCAGAAGGATAAATGCCCTGAGAGGGCTGGTCCCAGGATGGGGGGATTGTCTTTGCTGGTTGGGGCCTGTGTGTGTTGGAGAGGGCTAAGGTGGTACATCAGTTGTAGGACTTCAACTTTAGTTTCTGCTTAGCAGGAAAGGGGTTGTAGTGGGCTCTGCAGCAGAAGGTATGCAGCCTTCTCATGCTGTCCCTTGATGCAGATGTGTGGGTACAAGTGACCTGAAGTGCATGCTGTGATCCTAGCAGTGAGCTTATGCAGGGCATCTCCTCCAGCTCTGGTGGCAGCTCTCATTTCCCTGCCTGCTTTCTTTCTAATTCCTCACATCCCTCTTCTATTGCTCTCCTGAGTCACAGTTTGTTCCCTCTGGGCCTGGCACACCCTGCTGTACCGCAGGGCTGAGGTGCTATGTTCCTGTACCAGCTCAGGACACTCTTTCCTCTGCTCCTCAGCAGAGGCCCATGTGTCCCTCACTTCTGCAGGGCAGAGCAAGCAGCTTTCCTCCCAGATCCTTCCTCTGATTGCACCCAGAGGGCTCAGCTGGATGACGCTTCTTCCGGGAAGAAAGTTAACTTTTCGGTTTCATCTAGACATAGAACTTTGCAACAGGGAGGAAAACAGAGCCAATCCATGTCCAGTCACTCTGCTCATCTGTCTGTGATAGTTCACATAAATCCCTCCTAGCAGCTTGTGTTTCATGCTGCAAATAGGTAAAGAAGTTACCAAAGAAATCACACCCTCTTGGTCTAAGAGCTGACCAAAAATGGAATTATTTCTTAATGGATAACTTTCCAATTAAGCTTGCTTTTATAATGCCAGAAATGTGGGCTCCTGGCTGCTGTGGTGAAGTGAGTTTAATAGCCATTCATTTGGAGTTACAGTTAATTTGTGTGGGACCTGCCCCCTGCCAGGAGCTGGGCACATGCAGAGCAGAGCCAGTGCCCCATAACCCAGCTGGCTCATCTGCCCATAGGCTGTGGGATGTGGCACTGTGCCTGAGCTAGACCTGTAGAATCCCCGACCTAGCGGAGCCCAGCTCACAGCCCCTGTGCGGTGCAGCTTCCCTGGCTTCTTCCTGCTGGGAGCAGAGCTGTGCCTTACCCTAAAGGTCCTGCTGCTCGCTGGTGGGGCTGAGGGGTGGCTTTGGGGTGGGTAGGGCCAGGCCTGGGCAGGGGAATGTGCAGCTTCACGGGGAGTGGAGTTCCATCCTGGGGAAAGCTGTGCTGCAGGTACTGCCCTGTGGGAAAGGGGTGGCATGGAGAGAGGGGAAAAAGGGCCTGGGGGTCACTTTCTGCAGTATGCTTAGTTTAGTCATTAACTGTGTATTTAGAGAGACTTTAGGGGGTACTTGGAGAGGAATCTCCTGTTATCTCTGGGCATCTGATCAAGCAGAATCCTTGGTTCCCAAATGGATGGGCCACTGTTGCAAATCCTAGTGGGTTCAATGTGATCCCACCTTGCTGAGGGGGCCCACCTCTCCCTAGCCAGGGCTGCTGTCTCCCTTCCAACCAGGGCCACCCCCAGCCCTGCAGCACTGTGGCCCCATGCTCCCCCTGCACAGCAGCACTGCAGGGCCGTGGTCTCAGAGCAGCCCTGGGGCAGCCCTTGGGTGGCATTTTGGGATGACTTGCACCCTGGCCAGGCAGCAAGCAGCTTTCTGCTGTTGGGAAGATCCAGCTACAACTGCTCCTACATGGACAGGGCTGGCTTTCTGCCTCGGAGCTGGCTTTCTGCTGAGCCACGGGTAGCATTTTGTTGGCAAAATGGTTCTTTTTTTCCTTTCCGTGGGAGCCTGGGAGTGGCAAGACCCATCTGCCCTCAGCTCAGGCTGAAGGCTGCTGAGGACCACAGATCCCATCCCCTAGGCGCCAGGGCACCCCTCAGCCACCTCGCTTTCCCCCTGGGGGCAGCAGGACCCCCGCCGTGCCCCCCGCCCTCCCCAAGCCATTCGCTGACTGCCCTGGGGACGTGTCCCCCTGCAGCCCCACTCGCCCCATCACCACCGGAGGGGACTTACCGCTGCCCATGGCCAGCACCTGCATGTTCTCAAACTCCAGGGTGGTGTACGCCGGGTCCAGCGCCGCGCTATAATCGGCCATCTCCATGTCTATCAGGGCTTTGGAAAGGCGCATTATCATCGGCAAACACGGGCCAGATCGTGCCGATTCCCTTGTCCGAGGCTATTGGCCCTACTGCCTCTCTCTGCCTTCACTGCGTCCCCTATCTGTTGTCTTTTATTTCAAATATTTCTCTGAAAGGATTTGCTGAGCCTCAAGGCCTATACTCCTCAGAGGGGTGGAGGCAGGGGTTAATCTTTAATCATCTCACCCACTGCTAACGCTGCATGGCTGTTGGTTGTTTTTTTTTTTTTTTGGTGGAGCAGCAGTGATTCTTGTTGACTGTTTATGATTGCATCTTGAGGCGCTGTGCTGATCCCAGCTCCCAGGAACCCATGGGGAGAAGCACTCACCGCTCAGGGAACACCTTTGCGGGGCTGTCGACCTTGGTGCTGGGCTGCGCCAGTGGGGGGAAGGCTGGAAAAATCCCTGCCTGGGGAACAAGTTTGTGCCCCACTTCTACCTCTGTGTTCCCCTCTTTGCCTTCGCTCCCTCCCTCCCTCCCAAAGCATTTCCCTTCCTCTCCCTTTCCCTCCCAGGGAAGGTCAGCGCCCGCACTGCGATTTACACGTTGCTATGCAAAGTAACAACGTAGGACTCATTTTACTTCCCTATAAACCCAGTTTTACAGGGGCTGAATGCCCTATAAACAGGTCCCGCTCCTGAGCTGTGCCTAAACAACCTTTGGGGTGAGCGTTTGCCTGAGTGCCAGGCACGCAATGGAGGGGACAGTGAAGGGATGAGCGGGGCTGGCAGGGTGCATTGGGCACAGCCGGGCTGCGCTGTGCTGGCAATGGGCTGCCCGCTGTTGGGCACACCCTGGCCTGGCTTTGGCCTCTTTAAAGTTTCATTGGGTGTTTTATGGCACAGCAGGGCTTGACTCTGCAGCATGATTTTTCCTTCTATGAATTCAGCCAAGCAGAGCTCTCCGCTGCATCAAGCCTGCTGGCATCACCAGGGCCTTGTGTCAGAACCCCACTGAGCAGCAGCAAGCAGCAGGGCTCCTGCTTCCCTCCTGCCTGCCCAGGAGCTCTCTGGGCCCCCTGCTTGCCCTCTACAGGGCTGACAAGTTTCAGTGCAATTTGCACCACATGACAATGCAAGATTTAATTGATTACCCAATGGCGTCGTCTGGATGGCACAGGAAAACAAGCAATTAATGATTCAGCATCAGCTTGCTCTGCATTGAAAACCTCCCCTTGATTTCACAATCAGTACCAGGTGACCGAGGCCACACGCTGCCAATTTGGGCTCCAAACTTGCTTGTGTTTGTGCTTCTCAGTGCACCAGTACAGCCCTAGCTTCCCAAGCCCTCCTAGCCATGGTGTGGCCCTGAGGTCCCTGGCCCCGCAGCGATATGTACTATTGGTGCAATGATTTGCTTATCACATTTAAAAGCACTGAGGATTGTTCAAGCAGTCCTTGCCTCCCAAAAGCATCATGTACCAAGGGGTACTTTTATCTTAAGGCTACAGATCTGCAGGAGCGAAGCAGAGAGCAAGGGAAAGCTCCTGATTTCTTATTTAGGGCTGACAGTAGGTGATCCTTTTCTGCAGGGAAAATAGCCTCTCTGCACTTGTGTGGTCAGTGGTTCTTCCTTTTGGCAACAACAGCCCTCAGCCAAAATTGTTGTAATGATGTGCGCCAGGGTGGAGGTGCTGAGGCAGAGCACAGCCCCGCGGTGGCCTCATCCCAGGGACCTCCGTCCCAGCCCTGCTCAGGCCACGGTGATCCCTTTGATTAGATAAATGCTACAGACACTTGGTCAAATATGTGCAGGATTTGCCACAGTGTCTAGTAAAATACCATAAAAGCACGGCCCATTTTGCTCCATTCAGCAAAACAACCCTTTTGCTTCAATAGCCTGCTGACAAAATAAGGCCATTTGCTCCTAGGGCAGGAAGGATTAAGAGGGCCAGGAACAGAAGACGGAGAGGCACTGTGTGCAGGAGAGGCAGATAAGGAGCAGGGAAGTTTGGGGAGCATTAGGTGGCTCACGGGGCAGGGCTTTCCATCTGCATGTTTGTGTGGGCTGTCATTTTGTTGCTACCGGTGCCCCCTCACAAAACCCTTGTCTCAGCACTGGGGTGAAGGACATTGTGCACTTCCTTTGCCCCGGGGATGGGCTCATGGCATAGAGACCCTGCCTGCAAACTGGGATGCTGGGAGCCCTCATCTCTGTCCCACATCCCCACACAGTAGCTTTTGGGGACAGCTTGCCAACGTCACCATGCCCTGCAGTAGTTAATAGGACCACGATGTGCCGCAGCTGCTTTGGGATGGAGATGTTTTTTTTTGTACCCTCCAGCTATGCCAGGAGATGGCTGTAGAGGAGCTCCAGGACGTGCAGCCTTCTGTGCTAAGTGAATATTTGATTTTTATCAGCTGAGCAATAAATCCTCCTGTCTTTTTCCACTGCAGCACCTCATGACACTAATTCCACTTTATATATTTGGCAAATTAATCCCAAGCAAAAGGGAATTCCCTGAAAATAAGATCTGTGCTTATCAGTAGATGAGGATCGGGAATAGATTATTTAATGGAGTGTTGATGGTGATTCCATTCGGTATACCATGCTTGCTAGCTCCTGGTTTCAGGTGGGTGAGCCTCTCACAGGGCTCCTCCACAACGGAGTGCTGTAGGACCGAAGGACAATTCAGGTTGAAGGGGACCTCAGGAGTCTCACGTACCACACAGGGCCTGCTGAGAGCATCATGGGCTGCTCAGGGCTTTGTCTCATTGGATCTCGAGCATCCCTAGTGCAGGAAAGCTGTGAACAACGCCAGGGCTTTTCAGGCAGCCCTTTGAGGCCACTGCTGTTCCACCAAGCAAGCAGGTGGGGAAGCACAGAACTGAGGAACCAGACAAGAAACGACAGTCCCAGGGGAACGTCACGGCGCAGTCATCCCCACACATGCAAAGGTCCCTTCTGGTTGTTTTTTTTTTAAACTCCCCTTTGAAATTTCAAATTCCAGTTTGTGGACAAAGTCCTGCCTATCTGAGAATATAGATCTCCAGCCACTGACCAAACTCCAAGCAGTCCCGAGGGCTGCGTTTCCCCTTGCCCACGCGTGTCTCTGCTCTGCCAGGATCACACCACCACTTTTGCAGCAGAGCAGAGCACTCCAATGTGCTGAACGTGGATTTTGTGCCTTTCAGCCCTCACTTCAGCAGCTTCCTTCCTGAAGGCGGAATGGGGACGGCCATCTGTAGCGACCAGGTAGGAGCCTTATCACCTGCAATCCATTTGGGCAGCCATAGAAAACAAGAAGGTGAAACAAGGGCTTCCATTGTGCTTATACCAGCAATTTTAGCTCATCATTGAAATTAGAGAAGGGAAAGGTAGGCAGCTTCAGAAGGAGGGCGCTCTTGGAGGCAGAACCTCTCCATATGGTTAACTGATAACTCCGGTTTGCCTCTTCCCTCTCATCTTTTCCGATTCTCCTGATTAAGCTCAACTTATTCTCATGCTAATCATTTCTTGACCTGTTTATTCTGCATTAAAAAATTAACAGAGAGCAGTTTACTGCATGACTTGTTCACACAGAAGTGACACAGGTTAGCAGGCAGGCTGTAACCCTGCACAGCACTTTTGGATCCAGCACCCATGCGCACACCTCGGGGATGAGAGTTTGTTCCTGTTTTTAAAGAACAGCTTTTTCTAAAGTCAATACGAATCCCCCTCCCTTCATGCCTTAGGTATATTTGCTCTGTGGCTATTTCCAAATGGGAAAGATAAAGCCAAGGGCTCGTGTTTTGTCAGACTTTCTGTAAACAGGGCTACTTAGGCCACACTGCCAAACCCCTTTGCTTTCTGCCTCGGAGCGCTGTGACTCGCGGAGCAGTGTTGGTGTGTTCACAAGCAGCTCCACGGAGCATGCAGGGGGCTGCAGCACTTTATCTCCCTGCTCTACAGCACATGACTCGTGGTGCTTTATTTTCCCCATCGCTGAAGCTGCAGTGGCTGTGGCTGGGACAGATGCTGGGTGAAGATCAGCACTGCACTGACAGAGTTGGATGGAGATGAGCTTAGGACATTCCTCACCAGTGCCAACATTGGAAGCGCCCAAACTGACCAGAATAACCCAGGCCATAAAATCACCAGGGGCAGGGGATTGCAACTTGATGATCCCTGAGGTCCCTTCCAACCCAAGCTATTCTATGATTCTATGGTCATCTCACAGAGAATTGAGGCAACGTTTGGACATGTGTAACAAACACCTCAAAGGAGGTAGATGGCTCCACTCAAATCCTCTCCCAGAGCAATATGTGCTTCAGCTGAAGCTGGGATGGATGTTGGAGCTGGAGGCCATTAATGAAGCTGAAATAAATAGCTGCTATGAACATGGGGACAGACAGAGCATTTCAGCATACACTGCTTCAGCGGTAACACTGTGCTACTTTCATCCCAGGAGCAGAAAAGGGTTTATTGTGCTGACTAACAAAGGTCTGAACTTGAGGAAGTAATAGTTGTTGCTCCTTCGAGCTGTTGTTCTGCAAGAACAGTAGAAACAAAGAAAGTTTGAGCTGCTCTCAGGATGGCAGCTGCTCTCAGAAACATCGGAGCATTTGCCCAGCTGGTTTGTATTTGCAATCGCTCTGGCTGCATTGCAGCCCTTAAGAACAGTATTGGCATGCTGGGAGCCACAAGTGTGTGCTCTGAAAATCTGTCTGCTGTGTTTTTATGCAAAATCACACCATGAGAACAAGCAAGTAAGAGGGACTATTGCATTCATTCCGTCCCATCCCACTGCAGACTGCAGCTCAGCCCAAGTCACAGCTTTCACCTCTGGTCCCTGCTGTCCCACCTGAAGCCCTGTCAGCTGGGAGCACTGCACTGAATCCCAAACACAACCGAATGGAAACCCAGAAGCTTTCCCAGGAGGCTGCTGCCCATCTGGGAGGAAGTCAAGAGAAGCTCCAGAATGGAGCTGCTCTGTGGTGTTTCGGATTTGCTGTGTGTCAGCAGGTGCTCAGCTCAATCTGGCAGTTTCAGCCCCAGTCTGTAGGGGAACAGAAGGCGTGGAGAAGAAACAGTGGTGCTGGAGAGCAAGCTTGCTGCTAGGTTTCCTGCAGGGCTCTGTGCTCTGCAGGGAGCAGCGGGCAGCCATGGCCCTCTGTTTCATTGACTTGATACCTGATGTTCTTTATACACGTGTAACGGCTTGGCGTCATTCCAGCTGGTGGAGAAATAGAGTGAGGAGAACAGCCAAAATCAACAAAGGTTACACAGCAAGTTTTACCTTTCTTTTCTCTTCTGTTTTTTGGAATTTTTTTATCTTTTAGCGAAGGTGAATTTCATCAGCACCTGCTGGTGACCTCCAGGCACTGCTGGGGCTCACAGGATCGGCCCTTTTTAGCTCATGGAATTAGGGCAAGCAGCTGCAGAGCTGCTCTGGGACTGACCCGAGAGCTGCAGGCAGCAGCAGGGCAGTGCAGGGGAGCTCTGACCCCGCGTCCTCAGAGGACAGGCATCCCAGCTCAGAGTTCCTCAGGGTGAGAAGCATCGTGCTGAACCCAGTGGACCTGAGTGCTCGAGCCGCCCTCCTTCTAGGGGAACATGTGAGGAAAGGGCCACATGTGTGTGAAGGGAGGCAGTGCTGGAAGGACAAGGGCTGCCAGAGGTGGGAGCTGGTCGGATCCTAGAAAAGGTATAGGTGGTGGAGAGTTAAAATTTGAGAGCTTCTAGTTTCTGGAGTCAAAAGAAAATGGCTTTTCTCTCTACAGGAGTGTGACTGAATAACCTGGGCTGTCCCTGATGTCCTCAATCTTCTGACAGAACAACGGCCAGAGGAGCAAACAGGAGGAACCACCACCAGGAGCTCACTGGTGGCACCTGCAGCCCATGGACACCACGGCAGACACCTCTGCAGCACTCCTGCTTACTGCCACGGAAATGAAAGGCTGCAGCAGCACGCAAGGTGTGGCCGTGTCTGAATGCTCTGCGTGCAAGTTGTGCACTCCCTGGGCAGCCCAGGGGAGGGGACCACTCATCTCAACAGTCCCCAAAGCCACTCTGCCAGGACACTGCAGCACCCACTGCTAACGAGCAGCATGACAAACTGCTAATTCCGCTTTAAGTTTTTGACCTATGTCTCCAAGAGAGAATAATAATGTTATTATTTGTCCCTTAGCACTACTGCATGGCTCAGTGCCATTGGCCTCTTCAGCCATAAAGAAATTAAAATATAGTATGACCATAAACGACATCATTTGAGGAAACGAACCATTTCTAGTAAACGTATCATGGATGCCAAAGCCATAAGCTTTTCTAAATCAATCACCAGCTGATGCAGGGTACAGGTATGTGCTGGGAGCAGCTCCCACCGCGTGCCTCCCCCGGCACGGGGAGCCCATCTCGTGGCTCAGAACATGCAGCTGTTATGAGCACAAACCCTGCTTCAAGAATTGCCCAAATAACAGCACCCCAGAATAAGTTGCAGGCAGCCTCTCCCCCCACTCCTCAGCACCGATGTCCCCCTGGATGGGGGGGAGCACAAGGCCAGCGTGCGAGTGGGTACCTGGTGTTGCCCGGAATGGGTGACATCTGCTGCCATTCATCTTCCACCGCTCTGCTCCATGGGCAGAGCTAGAGAGTCTCAGCCTTGCGCAGGGCCGTGCAGCTGGAGACCCCCCGGCGGGCTGCGGGGAGAGAGCCATGCCCAAGTGGGAGCTGGTGTGGGATCAGCTAATCCCTTAATGCTGGTCACAATGAGATTTGATGGGGAGCAGGAGTTTGTGCCGCAGAGCTGCAGGTTTTAAAGTGTTCTGGCCGCTGCCCGGAGGGGAATTATAAGGTGGCTCTGGGTCTGTGCCCCGTTCCCGGTGCCCACAGCAGTGCTCGGGGCTCCCCGGGCCACCTTGCAGAGCTGCCCTTGCCTGGGCTCTGGCCTGCTGCAGCGTCTCTGCGTGCAGGGCTGCCTGATCCTGCGTGCAGCTTTGGAGGCTGGATTGAAAATGTGCCTGAGCGCGTTTAACAGCAGGAGCGGGTCTGGCCTTGTGGGAGAGGCTGGGAGCTTTCACTTTAAAATGTTTCTATATAAATACCCATAACCCGATATCCTTGAGAAACAACCTCTGTGTCAGCTCCCAGCCACACGGGCACGGCGTTACGCAGGCCGGCAGGTGGGCGCTGCTCGTGGGGTGCCCCATCTCTGGGCAGCCTTCAGCTTTGTGCTTGTAGGGCATTGAATCCTAAGATTCAAACTACCCCTGGTGTCAGCACTGCAGGAGCTCTGCTGCCCTGTGCTGCCCCAGTCCTCTCCTAAAGAACTGGGACTTGGAAAGCTCTGGGGGCTGATGTTTGGTGAGAAGCTCTGCAGATTGGTTCCCCTTGATGGGAACAAGGGACTGCGTGTCCCAGACAACCTGAACTTTCAGCGAGCGAGATCCCTGCTCGTGCCTTGTGCCATGGCTGAGCCCACCAGGAAAGAAGGAATTTTCCTACTGCCAAAAGACATAAAACCTAATCTCTAGCCCCTCTCAGTGCCATCTCGAAGGTACAAGTCCAAGATGGCAAAAAATCCTTACTAGATTGTCCCTGTCCCACCTCTGTGAGTCTCTGCTCCCATCCAGGGTTGCCTGGGGCTCATCTTAGTTCATTGGGATCACACACAGCTGCTGGGAGCTGCCAGAAGGCTCCTGGTGAGTTGTGGATCAGGAGTGACACTTTGCTTCGAAAGAAGGCCTGTCTGGAGATGGGAGGAAGATTCAGTTTGACTTTGAGATTTCAGGAGGGCAGTTGGTAGGAGATGCGGGACCGGGAGGAGTGGCCAAAGCCCCTCCAGGGGAGCAGTGAGGTTGGAGATTTGGGTAAATGTATTTTCAGAAAGAGCAGTGATGCAGCACCACAGCTGCCCAGGAAGTTGCGGGAGTCACCGTCCCTGGAGGTGTTCAGGAACCATGAAGATGTGGCACTGATGGACCTGGGTTAGAGGGCACGGTGGCCTGGGTTGGGGTTGGTCTTGGGGATCTTCATGATCTTTTCTAACCTCTACGATTCTATGACCCCAGCCCAGCAGATACCCTGCCCCACAGTGACAGACATGGGCCCGGAGCAGCCACAGACGCTGCCTGGAGGCAGGGCTGGGGCTGAACTGCCCGTAACCCCGTGACACCTCCCTTCACCCATCGGTTTCCACGCCTGGAACAGGGACACACCCTGTACACAGTGGTTTCTCCCAGCCGGTGGCAGACGCCGACACAAACCTGCGGCAGCACCCACCTCAGCTTCCACCAGGATGTCCTTGTGTGGCAAAGCCTCAACCCCTGAGCACCGCTGGGACACGCGTTCTGCCACAGGGCATGAGGCTCTGCGTGCAGCAGAATTCCAAGCATCCCATCAGAGCGAAAGGGAACGAGATGGCCGAGCGTGGCAATGGAGCTGAGCCCCGCAGGCTCCGTTATGGCGCTGGGCCATAAATGCTGCTGTGTGTGTGTCAGCAAACATGTTGAGTGGGCTCGACTATTGATTCTGACCACATAAAAAGAGCGTCGTGCCACTTGTTCAGGTTTGCGCAGGTTTTACAGCTCTTGTTCTGAGAAGTGCCCATGTATTTGGTTTTGCTCCTTCCTTCAGGGCTATCTGTTGACATTGGCTCTCTTAAGCAGAACGTTGAGCCATGCCAGGAAGCTGAGTGTACAGCTCTCCCCACGTTTCCCACTTTCCCAGGGGTTATCACCTATAAAATCTCGCACACACCCATGCTGGGACAGCTTTGCTGTTCAGAGCCAGGTGAAAGGTACCCACTTGTCCTGTGCTGGGGGGGTTTGGGTGCCTGTGCCCAGTGCTGGGCGCCAAGCCACACAGCCTACAGGTGAGTTTTGGGGTATATATGTGGTCAAAGCTGTGAGGAAGGTGCTGGGAGAGCTGCTTCCTGGCCAGCTGGGATGGGATGAGCAAGGTGAGGGGAGAGACCTCACAGGGTTGTGATGACAGCTGATATGAAAAACGGCTTGGATGTCTGGAGGAAGTGTTGGAGCTCCCAGACAACTGTCGTGAAGATGTCCTATGCGTGGTGACCTGAGCTTTCACACATTCCTCACCTCTGCTCCTCATCCCACTGGAGATGCCAGCACTGGCTGTGCCCATGCTGGGGGCTCTGAGGGTCCATGGCAATGGTCCCCACCCACCCTGCTACTGGGGCTCCTGGCCCCACAGGCTGCAGCTGGAGTCCCTCTAGTGGCTGCAGCATTTGGGATGGGAACTCAGGTCACGGCTTTTTGGAGGTTCCACTCAGCTGGTGCCTCTCCATAGACACAGCTCTGCAGGAAGCTGCTTCTTGTGAAGCGCTGGGGCATCTTCTCGAGCACATCATTATTATTTTCAGGCTTACTTATCCTGAGGGGATTTCCTGGGTGATTTCTGTTGATGCTCAGGCTGGAGTTGGACATGAGCCATTCCTGGCAGTGATTGCTCCTGGCTGAGCTCAGGAGCCCCGGAGGGAATGTGGTGCCTCTACCCGATACCGGTGAGCTGAGTCATCAGATTTGGGTTCACAATACAGCCACTGCCTTGAAATTTGCCTTCTATGAAAATCCTGCTACATTTGTTATTTCCACAAATATTTCTGCCAGGAAACTTGTTTGCTTGAATATTTGAGGAAAGCAAACAGAGAAGGAGCCCAAAAAGTTGTCGATGGTTTTTTTTTGCAGCATTTTGCTGTGTTCTAACCCTGACACTTCCAGACTCTCACTGTGCTCCACAAACCCTCTCTGCCCTATGAACTACCCCAGCACTTCTGGCCCTGCTCCTGCTGCAAATAACACTGCACAGTAGTGCTTCTGTTCTCTTTGCCTCATAGAAAATACTGTCATGTTCTCAAGCAAAGCTGAGGACAAGGTGTGCTGCTGCCCTGGAGCAGAGGAAGTGGCACTTCTCCGTGTGCTGGGAGCGTCCCCAGCTCTGCTGTACCCAGAGAAACCTCCACCAGGCTCCAGCAAACAGCCCTCCAGATCCAACCAGCGCAGCTAATTGATCATTCCTTTTGCTTCCATCCAGTGCTTGCTGCGAGATCCTGCTCAGCTGCTTCTGGTCCCTGTAAATGCCCCCCCAGCACTGACATTATGGCCACCACAAGCCAAAAGCAGTCCCAGCACCCAGCAGACCCTGCAGCCCTCATGCAACGGACAAGGAATAAACAGAGGTATTAAGAAGTAGCTGACATGAGTTCAAGGGGAACAACGCTCAGTTTGAGTTGTATCTAATGGAAGCTTATGAAAAATGAAATCCTTTTTGCAGTGAAAAGTAGTTACTTCACAGGGAAAAGCAAAAATATTCAGAAATTCTGCCTGCTTTTCTGTTCTTCAGCAGAAATTATTCACCACATCTGACCGAAATGCCTGAGCAGCTCTGACGTCTCGCATTTTTCAGCTGGTTTCCAAAGCTGCTTTGCTGAGCTCGCCCCAGTTATGCGCTGCTGCCTGCTGAAACTACCAGGGCAGGGCATCCCTGGTGCTGCCAGCTGCTCCCAAAGTACGTTGGAGCGGTGCTGGCCATGCTGGGGTTCAGGGCAATTGCCCTGGTTGCTGCAGTCTCATCAGGAGGAGGATAAAAGCAGAGAGAAGAGTAGCTGCACACTGAGCACACCCACACTCCTCTCTCTGTCCTGCAGCCCCTGGCGGGTGCTAGTGAGGATGCTGAACATGCCCCAGCCCCGCCAGCCCTTCCTCCACCTCTATTTGGATAACTTTTTCACCCGTTTAGTTTATGAGGACTCCCCTCCTTCTGCCAACAGTCTGAGTCTCCTCTTGCTGCAGCCTGGGAGGCCTGTCTTTCTCTTTTATAACTATTTTTCTACCTCCCCCTCGCGAGGCCCCAGCTCGGCAGCCCGGCCCCAGGACAGACGTGTGAGCTGTGCCTGCATGGAGCACGCCTTTGTTTGTGCACAGGGGGACAGGGGTGCAGGTGGGATGTGCAGCCATCCTCCCCAAGCTGCCCTGCAGCGCCCGGCTCACCCCATGGCCATCCCTCAGTCCGGTCCCCAGCACAATTCACACTGGCAGTGTGTACCTGCCCACGCTTGAGATCACCAACGTACCAGGGCTGGCAAACAGCTGCTCACCCAGAGCCAGAAGCAAACGGATGTCACAACTTAATTGTAAGTGTTGTAATCCAACAGCTTGTTCAGCTTTTTGAGGATCAGCAGCCTGCAGGGGCCATCTCTCCCTGCAGAAACGTGATGGCTCTGTTCTGCAGGGCAGATGAC